TTTCTTGCTGGGTATAAAAATTATGGTGTATACCGGCTTGTATCTGACGTACAGAGGAAGCAAAACCATTCAAACTGCTTATACTTACAGTCGCATGTAGGAAATACTGAACAATGAGCCCTGAACTGGACCAAGAGAGAGCCCAATTTTCCTAGAAATGGAGGCTCCTTTGGTCGGAATTACATTTCGTTGGTTCACAAACGACTATGAACTGTACGCGTTTCGGTCACGTCGCTACCAGCAAAATGAATACTCCCAACCAACATGGCTCTTTTCAACCAATGAGGAAGCGCTTCTGCTCAAGGCGGATATATCTTGATTGGGCTTTCTACCTGCTCGGTTCCGGCCACAGCACTGGATCGTCCATCACCACTCGGATAGCATGAACGGTTTGTGTCGACAGAGGACAAGAGATGACAAAGTAACAGGTAGAGTAAAAAATGGAAATCTCTAAATTCTGGTGCATGTTACATACCTTTGATATACTTTTTAACATCTCAGTGTGTGGCTCGAGCCAAAGTCAGAAGGACCGTCCCAGAACAAATTTTGCCTTTCAGTGTATGATCTAGCTGTTACCCACCCCAGCAGGGAGAACGTAGCCTCCAAGAACAGTTATCTTCATCATGGATACGAGTGGTGTACGAACGAGCACGTAGAGTTTCTTTGATCACTTGATGAATATACCTGTTCCAGAAATTAATGCTTGCGACAAAGGTAGGCCTACTGCATGGATCACCAAACTGGTCCATTTTACTTAATGTTTTCTTGTCTCTTTTCATTACATCTTAGAGTACATCATGGTACATGAGATGTTAGGCAGAGAAGAAAAATATGTCTGGGCTTGTCAAAGACTAGTGACTGGCCCAAGAGAGGGACTTATAGAAATCACCTGTCCCGTAAGCGTAATTGTTTTTTTCTGGTGTAGAGATGCCCCTTTTAGTTCCCCATTGTTAATTCCTAAAAAAGAAAGAATTAAAATAATTCCTGTAACCACCTTCTCACTCATTTACCTGACCTTGTCATCACCAGTATATTAATTTTAGCAAGCCACTGCTTAGATGTAAAATCACTCAATTTATGTTGTCCACAGTAACTTGTGTCATGAGATCTACGCGCCATATTTTACATCTTTCAAACCATGCTTCTGGCAAGGGAGTACGTGCATGCACAACTTTCACAGGTAACTGTATCATAAATTCCTACCGGTATTTTCACTCCTTTATTTTGTAACCTATAGAGATATTTGTTAGTTGTAAAGTTCCTCACTTTCACAGCACATTATCATAAACCAATTTGGTGATATATATGGGGAAAGCCGAGAACTCTCAGCGTAAAACGTAAGCGCGAGTGTGCAGCTTTTGAAATCATCACGCGCGAGATCGGAACTGACTTGACACAATGCAGTCAGCGTCATTTTCGTATTCTGCACGACCAGGGGCTAGTGAAGAAATGTGCACACAGCCCATGGAGTCGAGGTTGACACCTGCCTCCCCCTGAGCGGAACAAAAGCGGGTTTTTTGTTTGGTACTCACCAAATAGGTGCGCCATGAGGCGTGGAAGTACATGTATATACACGTTTGATGTGCCAACACGATAAGTACGCGTAACTAATTTACTCCGGCATGCATGGTCTTTGCGTATACGCAGAGCGCGTGCAAGAACCCGCTCAGAAATTAGAGGAGGAAATAATGTGGTGATAGTCCTCTTTGGTCGGTGTTTTAACTGTACCTGAACGTATTGAGTGGCCCCTCCAGAATATGAGCCCCCCCCCCTGAACCCTACAAAGTGTACCCCAGTTACGCCACTGGTTCCCGAAACTCGATGCGGCACCAGGTTCCGCCACAGTTCAAGTTCCATTTCTGTCTTTGCACTGCAAGTTCTGGTGCGTGGTCTTCGCTGGCAGCAAGAGCAGGCAGGTATAACATTGCAGTACAGAAGCCCTGGATCCACTTTGCGACACCTCCAACCCCGATTTCAGACTCATTCTTCCAACGCCATTCAACTCGCTCTCTTTTAGAGCGCATAACTGGTAAAAAGAAAGCGAGCATTTATTAGTAGTCGAGATGTCTTGAGATTACAGCGAGCAGCTTGCCCACATGAGTAAACCAACGACATAAAAAAAAACCGCCCGAAACAATTAGCGGCAGTCCTTAAAACGTGTGGGCAAGTCAACAGTCAAACTGCTAGCCGCAGGCACAACCCCTGCATACGGAGCTCTAATTATTTTCCGGAACGTGCGTAAACTTTCATTTTAATCAGCACACGTGTTGCAGGTTTAGTTTTAAATGAGGGGAAACGTCGGGGATAAAAGGACCTTCCCAAACTGTCACACTTTTGTATACAAGAGCGCTTTCCTACTGAATCGTGTCCCGTCCCACTACTTAAAGGACGTGCACATGAACACATAGCTTCCCGTCACTGTTACAGGTCGATTTCCAGTACTTGGTTTCGCTCCCGAAATACACGGCATTTGGGGGAAGGAGGAGAAAATGTTCCTCTCCACCAAACGCTTTTATCAATAAATGAGGACCACATGTTCAACGGTAGGTGAAAGAATCCTTCTTTCATGTAAACCAAATGACTTTATTATTCTTATCTTTCACATCCACACCGATTACAAAAAAATCTTCAAGCACATAATTTATCTACTGTTCTTTAAGACAATCGGCGAACACCTATACAAAATGCGCATTTTCACCTTTTTTGTCCAAATTGACAATTAATACAAACGTCACAGTACTGATGACACATGCAAGGAGTGGATACTGCTAAAAAAGGGGGAAGAATATCAAACATTTCCTGGTAAAATTGAAAATAAGCAATTAAAAACATCCAAATAGTAATGAATAATTTTATAATATAGTAGCACGATTACAAAGGCGTCTTTAGTCTCAGACAACGGCACCGTACTGCCATAGTACTTTTCAAGATTTCCAAAGGCAATTTACATTCGTCGGTAACTTTTAAATAAAAACAATGCGCCGCTAAATTAAATAGCATTTGCTCTAGATTATAAGCTATACACAGACTAAAACGGCTAGCCCTTTTCGTCCATTTTTGTCAAATTCTATCACCGTTATGGATCTAGCAGAGAAAAACCCATGCACAAAAGTATTTTCAAGAGAAGCGAACTTTAAAAGCCTAAAGATTAAAAATATAAATACACAGTGTTTGGACTTGCAACGCATAAAAGTAATACTTTTACAATATCAAAGTAGTATAAAAACAGGGACTTGGACAGTAAGATAGCACAGTACTGTGAAGAAATGAGTTTAGACGCTACTTAGCCAATAAACTGATTCCACCACAGATGACCGAAGACGGTCAGTGCGTCACCTCGAAATGCCATTGTACACTACACAAACCATATGCATTAATTAAAGTCGCCCATGGTCGCCTGCTCTTCTTGCCGCTGGATCACTATGGGTACGGCTTTGGCAAAAACAGCTCGAGAATACAGGAACGAGATAGCTTTGCCAGCCTCTGTTACCAAACTACATGTATACCCGTGGTTGTATTCTTGACAACAGCTGCACACTGCAGACCTTCTTCCAACTTCGACTTTCCTTGTGAATTGGAGAAGTAAACCACGTGTAATAATACAACAACAAAATAGCGACGGCAAGCAGAATATTGGAAACACAGTACTATTTTCTACCACTTCGAGTACTGACAAACGCCATTATTAACAAAAAAGAATGGAAAGAATATTTTTTGTGTGAACTGAGTTGTAAATTTGACAAGTTTGGAAGCATAAAGTTTTGCACAATAAAACACACAAAATGGAAGGGTTAATATGAAACTATAAAACGAATACACAGTTAGAAAACCTGCATATACATGTAAGTGTTTTGAACAAGGCTTATTATTTGGTTAATAAAAATGTCCAGAATTAATTTTACTGGTTATGCATACGTAAACTGCTATGAAAGTGAGTACATGTACATGGACTGAATAGTGAGAGGTGGCTTATGGAAAAAAAATTCTAATGGTATTACGCCGTCGTAAATTCAAGAACGTGCAAAATGCTAATTGGAGACACGCTCTCTTTCAGTGGGACCTGTGCAATTCGTTCAATGTGCTACCTTCGCTTGGATTAAACAAGACCGGTGAAGAAATTCCTGAAAGGTGGCCCGACGACGTGCGTCGTGCTACACTGAACATACACAAGAGGTCGTCGGTGCGACAGTACAGTGCGATTATTATATTATTATCACGATAGCACCAATGAAAGGAAAACATGTGGCAAGATACAATGTACTTTTTAAAATGTGCAGTTCAGTGAGAAAAGAAGATTTGGAAGAAATTGACACGACGGTTGGAACAAAGAAAACACAGAAAATTTGATTTGAACAATGAAAAATGATTGAAGCACATTCGGGTTGCACATACTGAACGAAATTGCAACATTTGCACCACTTGTAGGAGTTTTAACAATTTCTGTCGAACACCAAAGGGTTTATCAACTATTTTGCCTGCTTTTTACATGTCTTGTCAAGGGCGTCAATCCGTTTTGAAAAGTGGGGGACAGATATAGCCCTGATCAGAACAAATGCGAGCGCGAAGCCTTGAGCAGCTTGGGGTTTGGAAGTATGGAGTAATGGAGTATAGATGCTCTGTGATGTGATCCGAGACAATTTCTGGCTACTTTTGCCATTTTTTAAACAAATACTTTTGCAAGGTATACATTTTCATTTAGCTTTTTAGGAAAAGAGATGTGTGTGTTTTTTTTGGGGGGGTGGAATAGTATCCCCCCATTTGGAAATGTCCACCGTCCCCAACCGATTGACGCCCTTAATCTTCAAAATTTAGATGGATAATGCACTAAGACCTTGACTTTATTTTGAAAACCCCTTCATTTTTGAGAACCCTTTCCTTTTTTTCTGACCATGTCTAACTCATACCTAGTAATAATTGTGGGGGTTTGGCCTGGTCCCCTGAACGAAGTTTCTGTGATCATCATAAACAAACGAGGGGAATAAATATTATTATTAATAAAACTTGTACCCTGTCACAAAAGAAGAAAAAGGTACATGTCTTCCAATCGGATCAATCGTCAACAATTGGGCTGTCAAGAACTAACAGCGTTTTAAACTATCCATGCAGTGTATGCGTAGTTAAAAATCAGTTTTGTGCTTGAGTCAGGCAAGCAACCAAAATCAAAACTTTCGTAATATCCCTAGCATTGTAGGAGTAAGATCCGTTTAATATTTTTCAGTATCGGAATATTTTTAAAAATCCAGACATGCCCAATGTTTACTGCAGTACTGGTACTGTTCAAAATAATGCGGCAAACAATGTAAGCAGTTGGAAGCCACACAGTTAACAATTAATATCACACGTGGTCTTATAGAACAATCAACAGGATCTCTGCTGGTGGAGCTATATTTTTTTTTATGTCTCACTGATAAATCTGACCAAACCTCAACATGATGCAAATGGCACAAACAAGGAAACTCTTGTGTCCCTGTCTAAACATGCACTACTTTCCAAATCATCGGTGGATTTGAAATGGACTTGGGTTGTTGGCATTCCTATCTACTGTCAGTTGGATAACAGAGTGGTGTAAAACTTAAAATGGAGTAAAAAACCAGAACAAGAAAGAAATCTGCCCCCAGCGCAGAGAGCAAAATAAATAAAGGCAAGGCCACTGCTAAGGTCTCCCTTGTCTGGAAGCAACTTTTGTGTCTAGCTTCGGCAAAGAGGGTTAAAACTCTCTGCAAACAGCTCAAAGCCTTGTGAAGGTTTTTGCAGTTCACCAGAGCAAAATAAATATTGGGTTGCTTCTTTCAGTTTGGCTCTGTCACCCAGTATTTGCCTTTCAGGCTCGAACCTGGCATCTCACTTTGGACTGAAATTCCAAGTAGATGCCAGCTGCATCAACCCCATCTCCCCAGAAGCCAAACACGGGTTGGTCTTTATTTCATTTTGGCCTCAACACTAAAAAGGCCTGCGAATAGTTTCAAGGTGAGAAGTGGGGCCAAAGTCCGATAAGCGGCTGTTGCTTTAAGAAAGGGACGTACAAGTAGAATAAAAGGTGGGTGGGAATTGGGCTGGAACCTTTGAAGTATTCAGACAAGTCTGCTGCTGTACCATGCCATGAGAAGGGTACTACACACCTGCCTGTCTTTCCCACACACTGGCCAAAGCATTTAGTTACTGCTGAATTTTACAATAAGCAATTGCACATTTGCTAAGAAGGACAGCACCATTTACTAGCCCACCCCTTATAAAACAAGCTTCAAGCTTTAGAAATAGGTACAGAAACGCGACTACTTCAACACTGACCTCCAACACCAGCATCTTTCAAAGCCCAATCTATCCCAATAGTGTCAGTTACCAATTGCATATATTATTTGTTGCCATTAGCACGCTGCATGACGTTTCAAAAGTGCTGAACAACGCACAGGTCTCTCTCAACTGACGTTACTTCCTACAGAGTGCCATTGGCATTTTGGACGTTAATTTTTCGCGACGCCCATCAGCTGCGCCATATTTCGAAGACATTCGGATCAACACGCGCAGAACGTGTACAACATTTTGTGCACTGCGCGCGCATGCGCACCTGATGGCGATGATTATACAGCTCTAAATTCCCTACAAAGATGGCGCCCTATGAGAGAGATCTAAAACCGATGCATCTATGTGAAGTACTTCTCGTCGTAGTAGGCCGTCTTTTCAGTGGCCGCATTTCCAGCCGCTGTCTTCTGGGTGACTGTGGCGTATTTGTAGCCCATTCNAGAAACCGCACTGTTCAGGAGAAAAAGAAGGAAGAGACAAATGAAAATAGTCATGTGGGTGAAAAGCTACGTGTTAGCATCAGTAGGGTTCTGTCCTCGAGGTCATTCCATGCTTGGTACCTTTCTGGGCTGGGCACCTGAGTCTCTGGTAGCGGCTGCAGCCACTTTCCATAGAGTCGAGTGTAATTTGAAGCCGCAGCCACGTTATTCCTTCACAGCCTTACATGGAGCTGGTGCACACAGACATTTAGTACGCACAGAAACATATGCTTTCAAACTGTTTTTAAAAAGGTTATCGACCAAAATATTGTATGATTTACACTTCCTGTATAAACTGCTTCCCAGCTGATTTTTGGTTTTGAAAATCTGCTGAAAAACTCCATTAACTTGGGGCCTTGGGTGACATTATGCTGACCACTCCAGACAAGGTCACTGTACAGAATAACCTCTCTCAATGAGGACAGTATGATAGTCACCTCTCAGTTGTGGATGAGGTCACTGGGGGGGGGGAAATAGACCGGCCCCCAAGTGTCAGGTAGGCTGCAAGCTGTGGCTGACTGAGCAAGTGCAATATGGATGGTTAAATCAATCATTCCCAGAAAGGTAAGTTTCCAAAGAAATATATTTTGTGGGCCCTGGTCAACAGAACAACAGGTGATCCTGCTGGGGTGTTTGGCAATTCAACTTTCCTGCACAGGTACATGACAATTTCTTTCACAAGCCCCTGCGTTTGTGTGAACAGCCTACCATAGTTTGCACTGCATCATGTAGCAAAGCAGTGTCAAAATGAAAAAAAAAAAAACACCTGCGCATGATTCAGTGTGCAGCGTGGCCTGCAGGCCATGGGACGAGGTTGGGAGTCGGTCTACTCACTGTAGACTAAGAAAGCTGGTTTGCTTTTTGTTTTGTTCTGTGCCCAATTTCTTTTCATGCACACTGCAAGTGAGGCTGCAATAAAAACACCAACACTCTTGTGAATTTTCGCCACATCTTGGCAAGACACTTCCTCAAAGATGAGATAAGAAAGATGACAGAGACGATGGAAGATGACAGACCGAGGACCAACAGTAGAGGTCAGAGTTCAAATGTGAATGAAGCAAATGCCAATGATCATGCAGGCAATAACTGGACAACAGAGTGCATCTCTCTCAAAGCCAGTTAGTTTCCCAAGTGGTTCAAGGCACTGCGACTGTAACATTTCCTCTGGTACAATATCTTTAGGCATCTGCTTCAATTTCCTTTAGGCATCTTCGTGAATTTTTTTTTAACAGTGCGAAAAGCACAGGCTACTTGTTAGAGTGAAGCCAGCAATAACAGCATATGCCAAATTGGACTGCAACTACATATATACAAGTCAATGTGCGGGTTACTGTAATGGGAATTCATGGGACCACTAGAAAGCACAAGTATGCAAGTGGGTCTCGTTCAATCTTTGATCACGGTTAACGTCGAAGTCTAAGGCTCCAGGTTGAGCCTTTTTTCTAAGTACTATTAACAGACCTGCCAAAGAACCCATGTCAATCCAAATTGCCCAAATATAAAGCCCATTCTCAACAGTGGACATGCCATGGATAGTCACAGGTGCATATAAGTTGGGCATCTTTACCCGATGGCAAGTTCAGCGGGCAGATTGTTTTTTTTCTTAAAACAATATTCAGCCCCCCCAAGATCCCCTTTCAAGGGTTATTTATCTACATGTATTCCTAATAGGACAGACTTTGAAAGGTGACCGTATACCAGCACAGCGATTGCACCTAAAATAGACTTCCAAATATCCACTCCAGACTGCAAAAAGCCTCTGGACAAGACTTGTGATGGACTCGACTGCACGAACAACACTGTTTACTTGTAACTGGTCTTGTGGCTTGACGAATGGCAGAATTGAGTATTGCCCCCCTACCTATCAATCAGCACATTTAAAATGTGCCATGTGATAAGGACAAAACAGCTCCCTTTTTCCCAGGGAGGGCAATAAAAAAACAGAGTGCAAAAGACATCAAATTCAACACGTGATAACCACGTCAATCGGGGGACGTTCATTCTCATGACAAACTGACAATGGAGTGCAACAAATTCCATATGAAACCCTCACATATGCCATTGGAAAAAAAAAACAAAACTAACATTGTGCATGAGAACACTGACATTATCATCAAAAAGAAGTCGGTGCAAATTGTCATTAAACACAATACATCATGTACAGTACAAATAATGAATGAACCAATACTTGAAAAAACAATGAACCAACCATCCGAAAAAATTGGACAAATTCAATCAAAATAATTCCGGTAGAGAAGTTCACTTAAAAGATCAAAACACAAAGTGCAGAATCCCGTCAAAAAAGAAGTAAGAGAACAACGCCATTCCTTTTGATAAAAATTAGTTGAAGGGTTAGGGTTAGGGTTAGTACTCCGGTACTGTAGACTACTGGTGTAGGCAGTGTCAAGACCGCATTAAGTCGTTAGTATTGACAAGGTTCATATGCTACGCTGGGTTCTGGCGTGTCCAGTTTGGTCCACTGCCTTCAGTTGAAATGAAGTCAACAGTGGTTGCTAAGCGATGCTACCACATGTTCTTTGGCAGGGTAGCACCCCTGCTTTCTGTGATTGTGAATCTCACCCAAAATAAGCATGTTTTATTTAATTTCTGTTTCTGCATGTATCTTTTTTAATTTTTGGAAATATCTTTTCACTTTAATCTGACGTCTTCTCCCCATCAACCTTCTCAGGCACAAAATCTTTCAACAGATAAAAGGCAACTTCAAATCAAACAACAAAAACCACCATCCTAAACCATGTCAACATATAAACCCTGTACCGAAAGCTGGAAAGTACAGCATGAGAAAACGAAAACCACAAAATGAATGCATGGTGCAGGTAAACAGGTCAAGGCTGTGGAATCAGTCAGGCAAGCTGCAGTCATATCACACTTCAATAAACAGAGCAATGAAAGAAAGGAAAAAAAGAAAGACTGAGTCAAGTGATTAGAGTGCCCTCGTGTGAATGTATTTATCAACTCCATTGTGTACATGTATCTATTGCATTTGAAGTTCACACCAAGTATTTCAACTGCAGGTACACACTAGATTATCAGGCCTCAACGTGAAAGTTTAGGCACTTCTTTTAAAACTTAATATGAATTGACGGACCCAAAATGCAACAAATACAAGGCGCACTGAGCAAAATGCATTCTTTCACAAAAGGCACCAATTGGTATAAATCTGAGTTTTCGCGATGTCCTCTGCCAGCATAAGATTTTGGAAAAGAGCACTGTACACTTGGCAGTTCCCAAGGTTTGTGGAGGACAAATCTTGACCTTGCTGGGGAAGGACTTGAACACACGGCCACTTGCTTTCTAGTGCAGGTGTCTCAGAAAGCAGGTTCAAAGAGTTGGCAGGCTCAAATCCAACCTCAGCAATTTGTGTCTTTTCCTCAAATAAAGCTCTTTACAAAGACGCAACACAGTCTTCAGGATCCAATTATCGTGTTCAAGGGGGCATCATAGACTCAAATTTGTACCTCTCCAGTGTAAAACAAAATCCCAAACAACGGTAATGATTGATAGTGCCACGGAGCAGCGAGTTTTCCCCTAAAGATGAAGAAAGAAGGACAAAGGGCACACTCCAGTTCTGGGGCTGTACCATCCACTGACCCCGAGTATCAAAATTTGGAGTAATTCATCAAGAACCTTGCTGGGTATGAGTTAGGTCGGACAAAAGTATTTGCAGGATGACGTGAGCTTGAGTATGAATGCTTGGTCAACACTTATTCCTAGCCCTGGTCATCTAGGATTCTTTAACTGCGGAGAGCTTGTCGACAGGACTTGTGGACAGCTTGTCTGATGGCTTTTTAAATTGTTCTGGGAATATCTTGATGGTTCAATGCATTCTTTCACAGTTGCCTATTTTAACTTTATTTCAAAGATCACTGTTGTGTCAGGTTTTCTTGGTATATTTGTTAACATCTTACTCCTGCGACATTTGACTTGATTTTGATCCCCAACAAGTTATAACAAACTGTTGTTGTTTGCATACAGTTATCATGATCTTAACCTTTTGTGTGCCCAAGAGTAGTTTTCAGTTGATTTTACACCATTTAAAGGTATTTTTTGATATTTATTGCCACTGTCGACTAGTCTGTCTGGGCTTCATTCCTACTGTCCAACCTCATAAGAAATTGGGATAAGGGCCAAGGAAAAGAACTCAATACTACAAGAACTCTGAAGTGTAATGACACTGCTAAAGTCCACTGAAAAATGTGTAGAATGTCTGAGTTGACAGAATTTTGGCATTTCACCAGAACCTCCGCCTTAAGAACTACCGAATTGTAATCATCCATACTGATCTTAACAGTGCATGATGGTGACCTTGATAGTCTCGCACGCAACAAATATACACATTTGAAGTTTTCTCTTTGTTTTTGAGATGGTAAGACTGTCCCAACGAGGAGAAAATTTCTTTCTTTCTTTTTTCCCAGGGGGACACTCGCTGCACGTGGAGTTTCATTAGTGGTGAAGGCAAGAGAATCAATAGGTAGCCGAGTTTTAGTACGCACTGGACCACCACCAGATCTTGTTCCTGGCCGACGGAAAAATCCCACCTGAATGCATGCGTGACATGAAGGCAATGGCAATAAGGGAGGGGTACGGGGAAGGAAAATGGAATCAAAAAAACAATAAACAAGAATCTAGCGTTAATTTTTTTCAATCAAAGAAAAAATTTAGAATTCAACACTGATTTGGGGGAAAGCAGTTTATCATTTTAATCTTCTCAACAAGGGGCCACTTGCTGCAATGACCGTCCATTCAGATGATCATTGGGAACAAGTTTAAAATTTTCTCTTTTTTCTCGCAAATGACAGCATTCCGGGCAGAAAGATTTCACAAACTGACTGATGCTGTTCTTTACTTACTTGACCATATGATATTGTGAGATAATCTGGCAGTCCCATTTTCGAGACTTGACAAATACTGCATACAACCCCTCATGGGAAAAGCTGTGCTGCACAACTTCAACTTGGATGCAGCTACTTGTTTGGTGCTTTTTCATACAATGGCCACTGCATTTCAGCAACATATATTTTCCCAATACGGTGGTATGGACTGTACATTCTACGGAATGCTTAACCACTTGCTGCCGGGCACTCCGGTTTCGGGTACCGTGTGTTTATACGCGAGGCCAGGGTCTCCGAAATCAAACAAAGGGAACTGGGCCTTGTAACAGAAGACTGTACTCAGAACGAAAGACCAGGCTGCTGGGCATTACTGACATTTTTTCACTCTAAATAGTGGAGATAATCCAGCCTTGTTTTGAAACAGTATACCACGGTTTGGGGCATTTAGTGCGAGCGGATTACTACTGGAGACAAAAGTGCTCCACCACCGCAGCAATGAGCTACACAGCACCGCTGCACGCTAATCTGGCCCCTATTGAAAAGGTGTGTGCCAGGTTCATGAACAAAAGAACGTTACATAACACCACACAATCTGTGCTCTTTTACAAGGCTGCAGGCCTGGCTGAAATACTAAGGCGTCAATAGATTTTGCCTGTCGGACTAGAGTGGCCACCAGACAGTAATTCGTGTGGGTGTAAATGCCCGTTAATTGAAATGATGAATTTTTGAAGAATTTTGAAAACTGAAAATCTTGAAAAAGTCCCGATTATGTGCACTGCATTTTTCAAACCACCCAGCAGCAAGTGGTTAACAATCTCAATTTTGGCCTCTCTGCACAAAGTCTCAATTTTCATCGCCGCACACAGATTCTGTTAACAGTTGTACACTACATTCGGGTTGTGTTATTATATTCTACAGCACTAGGAGGGATAACTAAAAAAAGGGGTCAAGGGTCACTGTTACATGTTCCCTGGTATGATGGCTGCATCCGAATCTGTTGTCTAGAGCTAGGTCTCGGTCTTCACCCCACTGGAAACACGTGGAGACCACAGACCTAGCTGTAGCTCTGGGAGCCCATTTCGGACGCGGCCATTGTTACAGAGGGGGGGGGCCAAGAATGATTTTACACAGGAGGTCAAAGTTCAAGATTACTGAGAGAGGGTGCATGAGGCCTGGTGTTATGGTTAAGGGGTCCAACCATACAGTCTAGCAAAATGAAAAGGATGACCTACAGAGCAATGGAATAAACCTTTTGTGTATCAGGATGGAATAAAATCTGGTACACTGAGTTCTTTAAATTCATGTGAACATAGTAATTTCAATTCTCCATACTAAAGGCACAGTTTCTACACCTCGTGATTGGGCGCAAGCTTTTCTTTAGTAACTTAAGAGATGCTTTGCATCAATACCCTGTTTTCAATGGATAAGAAGGGCACAAAGAGACCAGTCCATTCCAGAGATGGAGGTCGCTATGAAGAAGCTTGCCCCGAATCAAGAGATATAGCAACAGTGTCTTTAGTCTGGGGATTCAAACTGTTATGTTTGAGTGCGCTCAGATAATTCAGGGTACTAGATTTATTCTAATACAATTTGCAAAGGGCTTATTATTCAACAATATGGACTGGGTGATTATTTACAGAAATACAAGCTGCTGACACGTAAATCAAGGTACATGTGAAGGAAAACTGGACTCTTTTTTCTTTTTTATCTGCAGCGATAAATTTGTAACAAAGTTTCATTTTCCTTTCCCTTTCAGAACAGACATGGCTGCATAATGTCTCTCAATGGATTTATCAAACAGTGCTTTAATTTGCCTCCCTCTAACAAAAACCACTTCTCATAGTAAAATAAAAACACGGTAAAGGAAAGGTATATCTGAAAATGTTTCCATATTTATCTACAGAACGCTGGCCCTCATAACAATGGCTTTTTTCCTCCATGGCCAAGTGTGAGACAGGGATCATCCGGAGGAGACTTACCTTCCAGAGCAAGAGAATGAGTATGATGAGGATGAAGAGGCCCCCTAGGACGGCAAGCAGTATGATCCACCAGGCTAGGGGCTCTGGCTCGGGTAGGGTGTCGACGTCAGACTTGACAACGGTGGTCAGCTGGAGACAGGGTAAATTGGGTCAATGGAATCGATTACCACACCTCATGTATATTCATGACTTTGAGCTGCATTCTCACTGGTCCATTTACCAGTGAAGGCCAGTCACTACGTAAACTTTTGAAGACAAGCCACGCTTGCAACGTGAAGGCTTTATTCTGTTTCATTACTTTTCATGCAAGTAAGTCAGCTGACTGTACCTACAGTCTTATTTCATATCACGGGTACTTGGCACTGATGGCATTATTACATCATTAAGGATGACAGGCTGGTTCCCTGCCTCATGTCTTATGTCAAGATTGATAACCACTACAGGATTGATAACCACTACTAAGTTAGAGTCACAGCCATAATGTTTGCACACAGCTTTACATATACTCACATCAAATTCGTCATTTTCTAAGTCACTCTGGATCAGGTATGGGGCATTCAGTATCTTGATCCGCCCGACTGACCCCACGAATACCTGCTCTACATTGATGTAGTCCTGAAATTCCGAACAGAGCGAAACAGGGGTAATGGATTTCTACAAAGATAGAGATTCTCACCTTCCTCACTCTTTGCAGACCATGAAAATGGTTTGCAGACTATGAAAAAAGGTCATCATTTGAGCAAAGAACTCTACGATGACCTTGAGTAAGTGGCAAAGTCTTCTACCTCCAGCTTGTTCAATGTAACTTGCTTCACCCAACATTACTGCACAAGTTATCTGGTGATTTTTTGCACAAGTCCCACACTTACAAACAATGTGAGTTTCGTGAAATGTGACACATTTGGTTGAATGACTTGAGCAATGAAACGTAGCTTAAAAGGAGTAACACCACTGCTTTAAGTTTCATCAACCCGGCTGTGGGAGTTTATTGTCCAATTAGCAGCACGAATGTTCTCAACTTGACTGTGAGAGGTTTGTCAAATTGGCAGTGAGAGTTTTGTCAAATCGGCAGTGAGAGTTTTGTCCAATCGACGGTGAGGGTTTCATCCAATCAGCAAAGACAGTTTTGTCAAATCCGCAGTTAGATTTGGTCCAATAGGAAGAGTGAGTTTTGTCAAATTGACTGCAAGAGTTTCATCAAATCAGCAAAGAGAGTTTCTTCAAATTAGCAGTTAGTAATTTTTGTCCAACAGGCAGCGAGAGTTTCGTCAAATCAGTCACGAGAGAGTGCCCAAACTCACCTCTTGGAAGGTGCTATTCCACAGCCTGGACCTGACGACGACTAGTACTGTCTCCTCTTCCGCAAGACTGTCAAAGTGACACTTAAAGTCAAAACAGGTGGCTGTCTTGTTGGAACAAGCCTAAAGACGGGAGAAAAAAAATCACAAATAACTCACACAGATACCTCTGGTGTCTTTGGCAAGAAACTGGGCGCACACAATGCAGGCAACGCAGTAATTGACAGCAGTACTTTTAGGACTCAAGCTGCTGGTCCAACAAAGGAAGAGGTATATATGCTACCTAACGAAACGATTATTAGACTGTATTCATGCGTCAGCCATATTGAATTGGAAGTGAGGTTAACTTATCATTTTAGGCCACTGAGAGTAAAACAAATTAGTGCCAATTTACATTTAGAATAATATAAAATTAATTTGTGATTAATTATATCTAAACATTTTAAGCAATATTCCAAAAAAATCTGAAAGTGAGGCTTAGAACCCCAAAAGTTTTGTACCACCCTACTTAACAAATTACATTGAATATGATAGATTCAGGGAACAAGATTGAAAACGGCTTCCCTTTAAATAGGCATTATAGAGAGGTGCTGCATGCAGAGAGATATGCATTTGTTTAGCCAACTGGCAACCAGTATCGCTAATTCTGTTGTTTTGCATGGTCTATGCAAGCGCCTGTTTAGCCATCTTTTACAGTTAACAATGCTTGCTCTGGAAAAAAAGGGGTAGAAGAAAGTGGTTTCCAAAGATGCGCCAAGTAACAAGGGCATTCTGGGAGCAAAATATGACAATTTCCATGACATTAATGCAAATTGGCAGAACAAATTTTTTGGGGGGGTATTACGACTACCACAGCCACTACTGTAGACTGAGCAGGATGTAGCTTGCAAATTTCTGATTTTGTGTGATAACATCAAAATTGGCCCTCCGAAGATGACCCTTTCATGATCTCCATCTCCATGACTTTTCCATGGCCTATATTCTACGACAACAGGATTCTAGGACATTGTTTTTTCCCCCAGTTTTCCATGACTTTGCGAGACAACACTTCCCCGCCAGGAACTTCCATAACAATGCGAACCCTGCACACCCAAATGGCAAGTGCTCCATGCTACGTTCCAGTGATGACAAAAGAGAAGATCAGGTTGAGGGTTCTTTTTCAAGGGGATATGTGGCCTAGTGGTTAGGGTTTGTAATCGTAAGGTCCGGGTTTCAAATCCATCTGGTGGTAGCATGTTGAGGTCTTTAGGTAAGTCACTTTACCTCCATGTGCCTCTCTCAACCATGGGCAGATACGGTCAGCCGTTTACGCCTGATATGGCAGCAACAGGCTCGTATACTCCTCAAGGAGCTTAGATAGTTTCAGGAATCTTCAGATGTGAGCCCAATGTGCACGGATGATGATAATAAGCGTTTGGAATCCTCTGGTAATCTGACACTATATAAAAAAAATTGTTATTACCAGTCCCACTGTCTGTCCCTTCAAGGGTTGCCCCTTGCTGCTTCTCTGAGGTCTGGACACCTCCTCCTGCTCTCCTGCCCCGCCTCCAGCCGCCCTCTTTTTCCTCCTTGCCGCACCTGTTGTGAGTGATGCCTCCGTGGACGGTACTCTTGTGCTGGGAGGCAAGCTTCGGGTGCTGGTTGGAGCAGCGGTGGTATACAAGTCGTAAGGTGACCTGGGTCGCTCCTGGTGAGGAGGTTAACACTAAATGATCAGCTTACCAGACGGCGACCAATGTCACAGTGTACTAGTGCACTACGATAAGTAGATGAGTTTCATACTCAGCCCCCAACGGCAGCAACCGTGACAGGAAGTAATGATATACCAGTGACAATGGCTCTGTGATGGCAGTACTACAAGGACTGTAATACATGTGTACATTGGTAACACTTTGACTAGTGGTCTAAATCTGCCCGGATGCAAAATCTGTCCCTTCGGGAGCCAAGTTGGTATTAAGAAAAGGTTGGGTCATTTCAGAACATGTACCTGACGTACAGCTCTGACATGTTCAATGCGCCGGAGGTGGCGTACAACGTGCTGAATACAGCAAGCTCATGTGCGTGCATACTGACATTCTGAACTTATCTCTGACACCCTTCATGTTGCATATACACTGACTGGGATGCTGAACTGGCTCACCGTGCACAACGGCAGTCACTGAAAAAAGCCACTGACCTTGATCTTGAGCTCGTTGACGTAGATGGGGTCAATCTCGCAGTGCCCTCTGTTGCCGCGAACCTCCGGCATGTGCGTCATGTAAAGCAACCACTTCCCGTTGGCAACCTCGAAGGGGAAGCTGATGGTCAGCTCCGACTCGGGCACAGTATCTGGGCCTTTGTTGTATATCTGCACCAAAGGTCAAAGGGTGGTCAGTGGCAGCAAATGCAAGCCATTTAAGACCTTGAAAAGCATTTACTGAAAGTGTGCCACCTGCACAGCGTAGAGTGAATGTTTGGGGGAAAAGGTCAACAGTGTAGACAAGGCATTCTATACATTATGCCCAAGTTGGGGATCTTTTCTACGAATACCAAAAGTTGTAATTACAGAAGTGTCCGAAAAAAAGGACCAGTGTCCCATCCAGCTGCCTGTCCACCTGTCCTGACGACAAGAAAAATTTAAACATGCAGGATTGGCTTGCACAAAATCTGCATTAGCCCAATTTGGAATGACCTGATCCGGTGTCACTTTGTACATGTAACTGTACAGGCAATTATTCTTGCGTGGCAACACAAGCAGAACTCAACCTGTCCCAAGTTGGAATAAGCAGTGTTACAAGCACATTCCCAATCTGGAATGACCTGTTTTTGAAATGGTGTGCATGTACAGTCAAATGCTCTGAACGGGAACACTGCTGTTCAGAGCCTCACCCAAGTGAGAACAGCCTGCTTGCCCAATTGGCAGCAATTCCCAAATGGACCAATTTTGGGATGACATTTGATATTTAGTTGTTACCAACGATTTAAATGAACGGTATTTAGCCAGCTACAAGAAGTCAGTGCCCTCTTTGATGCGTATAGTGGATAGCCTATGTGTCGAGATCACAACAAATGCTTCCAGTCAGGTCGGGTCCCCAGCTGTCGACTTTTTTTTCTTGCCAAACTTTCTTTTTAATTTTTCACAGTGCCGCCAACAGTTAATGACAGAATATCACATTTCCTTTTTCCGTTTCCCGGCTCTGGAGGTTTCTAAATGGAAAATAAACCGAACATCTACAATGGTCCAATTCTCACCTTATGAACATGAAATCACAGAGAATATGTTGTTGCAAAACCAGATTAACATTTGTCACGGTAAGAATTTTAATCTCAAAAAAAAACCAGTTACAGCCACATGTGCCTGGCAAAATATCGTTTCATTAAATTTGCCGGCGACAGCTAACTATCCACCGCCTTTTTAAAACACCCATCCCCCCCCCCATCTTCCCACCCTCCAGCTGGGGATGTGGCCATACTCATACTTACCTTCCAGGTGTGTATCACCTCTTCTCCGATCTGGTCGGTGTACTCCATGGCGCTCTCGCCGCGCACCACGCCGCCAAATGTGTAATGCTCCCTGTTGGTCTCTCTGGTGAACGAAATCAGATTCAACTTTGCTCAAAACCTCTGTGCTACAATCCTTCAACTCTTTTTTCTTCACTTTATACTACTGCTATGGAGAATGCATTATGTTCCATCCCTGAAATGAAGGGTAGCCGCACACTCAACGAAACGCCTAGTTAATCCTCTGCTATGTAAACGACACCACCACTGGGATCAGCAAAGAAAAAGCACTTCAGCTTTGAGTGGCAAAAAGCATGGTGCTTGCCACAAACGCCATCCGATTTACATTGGTCTCAACCCGTTCCCAGCTCGTTTTTGCTCAGCCAGCAAACTTTGCTATAAATCAGTGAGCCCCACATTACAGCAGCTCTGAAAAAATTGGCCTAGGTCGCGCAGTTGACACTCACCCCGAGAGCTCCATGTCGGTAATACTCTCCACTTCAGCATACAGAGTAATATGATTGTCCTCTGGGTGACTATCTTCGTTTGTCCTAAAATTTGAAGAAGATCGAAAAAGTTATAATTGTGTGAAAGAACGATATGGGTTGAGTGCTGATGAACAAAGGCCATGTCCAATTACCTGGCTGTGGCATGACATTACACAGGACTGTACACTGGCTGCAGCCCCTACCCATGGGGTCGTGCGCAACGTCAAGCCGTAGTCGAGTAATTTGGACAATGCTTACACCAAGTCGAGTCAGGTCCCTGATTAAGTCTGTGATCAAGTCTGTGACTGGGTCCAAGTCCAAGTACCAGACCGAGTCGCAGTCCAAGTCTCGATCTCCAGAATTTGGGTCGGGGTCTCAGTTCCAGTCTGGGTCCGTGTCCCCAAGAGTAGAGTCCTGGTTTGCGTCCTGAGTTTTTACAATGAACGTAGCTTGAGAGTCCGAGTCACGGGTCATGGCATGAGCCCAATCAGCAAAAACTAAGTGCATTTCTTAATTTGTTTTTCTAGATGAATCTTAGAGCTGTTTATGTTTTCTAGTGCCAGGTCAACAAACTAAGGCAGTTTGTAAGGCAGGCATGAAATTTTGACTGGTTCAACTGCGACCAAAATTTTCCACGACCTCACTTCAAATTTTCCGCGTTTAAAATAACAGATCACAACTGGGCATTTTGCCATCAAGTCTGGGACAGCAGAAAAAAGTAAGTCTGCCTCCAGAGTCACGAAAACCATTCAGCAGTCTTACACCTCTCATTTATGTTATCAATTCTTGTGGTCTGGCAGGACGGACTACACTTACGATGTGACTACCATCGTGATGGTGAAGTTTCCAGCATCTGGGGGCACGTCACTAGTAAAAAACTTGACGGTAAAGAATTCCTGCGCAACAAAGGCACAAAGATCATCATGTTACAAACTGCACGTGTAGTGCAACGCTGCTTTAATCAGGGGTGTGATTGGCCACTTAAAATTAAAGCAGAAAACAGCTAGCAACAAGCTCAAATGTTAGAAGTCCCCATACCTTTGTACACCGCAGGTGCATAAAAACCTGACATTTTTAACATCTAATATCTATTTTCAAGATGTATTTTTTTTTTTTTTGCGTTGGGGAGATGTTAATTATATATAACGGGTTTGCCTGTTATATATAATTTACGTTGGGTAAGGGCAAACCCGTTATATATCTAATATCTAAACAAAAAAGCTGAAATCAGCTGAAAAGCTGAATTCCCACACCCCTGTAAGATTACAATGGGGTCCAACCAAACTGTGGAGTGCAGTGGTTGTTTGTTGAAGCCATTTTCAGTTTTCTGTGTGTCCATTACTGGAGCAGGCCCAATCATACATCTGGTGCCCACCTCACCAAAGAAAATGCTCATGGAGATTCAGGGGACTTATTTTCATCTCTTCTGGTTGCAAACTTGCACCAATCAAGTAAAGTTGGACTCATGCTGATTCAGGTTCAGGGGCCATAGTCTCATTGCCTGAGGTAAAAATATGCACCAATCAAGTGGACAGACACCTGCTCATTTGGATTCAAGGGGCAAATTTTTACGGTCCAAGGTCACAAACTCATGCCAGTTAAAATAGCTGGGTGCCCGCTTATACAAATTCAAGGGCCCCATTTTCATTGCCTCAGGTCAGAAACTTGCATCAATCAAAACAGTTGGATACCTGACTACCCCTATTCAGGGGCCACATTTTCACACCCCGTAAACTCTTGAGGGCAGCGCTGCTTCCAGGCCCAATTTCATAGCATCGCATAACGGTTAAGCTGTACTGACCATAGCCGAAAATGATCCTGGTGCCTAAGCCCTATTCTGTGGCCTGGACGGCTGATAGTTCCAAGTGCCTAGAGATTTGTATTATTACGTCACAGATTCAAGAAGCTTCTTTCCTGCAGGGTTAACCTTGATGTCACTCTGCTTTTGTTATCAACAGATGGAGGTTTTCATAGCACAAAATCGGATGGTAAGCAATGCTTTGAAATGCTTTGAAATTGTTCACTGATCATGCTTACATCGTGCGATTCAGGGTAGGGGTTGCCCAGCTCACAAAGTATCACCGTTTTGTTGTCTGGCAGCTGGTTACATCGGGAGCCAATGTGCTACAAAGAAACAGCAAAAGACAGAATATGTTGGAAGTAGGTTACATGACAAAAAAATCCTGGAAAGTGCGGAAGGCACTTTGGCTCGTAAGCTTGAAGAAACCTGCAAAGTTGGCAACACCGCTTCAGAGGTGGAGGGAAAATCCAACCGAATTGTTATTACCAGTCTGGTTTCTCCAATAGTTGCACATGTAGTGGTAAATAAAAAGAATTAAACCACGCATCAAGAAATTATTTTTATAAAAAGCGCATTAGATATGTAATACAAAACTGCCGGAAACTGCTTGCTGACTACAATGACCTAAAATACAATTCTCAAAATATGGAGGGCCTGACGTTTCGATCCTAGCAGAATCTTTCTCAAAGGCAAAAAACATCATTAGACACATAAAATTTGAGTGGTGCAAAATCTGTAACTCACCATTTGAAAGCAGAGACTAACAAACGAACACTTAAACAGAAAAGAGCAAACACAAATACAGCAAACCAATGGGCAAACAAACAGATAGACCAACAGACTAACCAACAGAGAGACACAGTGTGTCTCACAGATGGAGACAAACCGACAAACAGAATACAGATACAATCATTAATACATTCTACATCTCAGCACTGAATCCCAGTACATGCACTTGAAGAACATGGTGTCAGTGATTTCAGATAACCGTGACAAACAACTGATCAAAGCCACTCTAAACCCTCCGAATGTCTTAAAAAAGCAAATATGCTGGGTAGAACCTATGGACGGTAGGGACCGATACCCGATCCATGTGTAAAAAGCCCAAGTTTCCACCTGATTGTAATGAACGCCGATAGCACGCAACCTGTCAAGATGCAGATGGTTGTGAAAAACCAAGTGCGTGACATCCTTTAACCCCAAGAATGGAAACAAATTGGCACTTTTAACAGCAAAAATGTTTGTATGAAATGCCTGTTATAGTGGCTTTGCATGGTAGCCATCTTGCAGGGCAGTTCTTTTGTTCCACAGGGAAACCTCCTTTGTGCAGACCATGTGGAACAAAAGCACTGGCGTACAACACAGCAGCTGTGTAAACTCTCTATGGGTGGGTACAATACTTCTTGAAGCTCAGAACTGGTACTTCAATTCATTGTATTTCAAATAATGTCAGTGATTTTTATTGACAAATGGGGTTTCATTTCTTAGCCATACTACGAGCATCAAGCAAGAACACAGTTGTCCGAGACCTTCTCTGACAACTCGACATGTACAAGTGGCAATGTTAAATGAAAAAGTTAAATTCAACTTTGCTCGCTCGGAAATCAGATTTTGACAAGATCATGCATCGGGGGGAGGAACTACTCGGCAAAGCTGTCTACAGGGTCAACTTGGGCACCAGGGCTATAATGGCAAGGGGAATTACCTGCGAGTCCTTGTTGTAGACCAGCATCTCGGGGAAGGTGATGGTTAGCTTGGCGTCGTAGGCCGGCTCCTCCTTGTTCTTAAGCTCCACGTCCACGATGAGCTCGTTGTGCTCGCCTTTGCGCAGTGTCGGGGGTGTCCTGTGCGACAGGGGAAAAAAAATGGATACCAGTAGTGGATCCGGTTTGGGGGATCAAGATACCTTATCCTTTTTCCCTCTTTTCTATTGCTTTTGACTGCTTTTTTAGCCACTTTAAAGACAGGAAATTTCAGTAAAAATTTGTCCTGCTCACACATTTCGGTTTACTTCCTCCCTTGACAGGTAATCTCCCCTTTTTTTCACTGCTGGATAGAATACAAACTACTGCTATGCTTTCTGACTGGTATTCACTGAAAATTGTTACAATTTTCAAAACACTTCCTGCAGAACTCTCTTTTTAGAACTTCACAAATCCAAAGGCAAAGCATAAATTCTTCTTGAAGGATTCTCTCAAAACTGCAGTCTGATTGTACAGGAGTGGACTCCAAGCAAAGTATTACTTTGTGAGCGGATCCTACAAAAAGAGTCTTCGGGCATTTTAGTTCTGTGTTATTTTACCTTAGAAAGAGCAAACTGGGGTCACTGTTTTGATGTGCCACTCAGTTGGGCGCCCAAATAGACATGAGCATTGTGTGCATCAAAAAGGTTGAGGGCTCCTGGTGATTTATGCGTAATTCTTTTAAAAACTTTCATCTCAGAAGTGACTTCGGCTACTCGTTCTGTTAGGTTGGGTCACATTAAGAAAAAGAAAAGAAGCAGGCTTTCTTTTTTTGGTCCTTGAGGTTAAGTTTTGGTACTGAATCCACTGAAACACCAACTCGAAAATTAAGTATTTTAGATTTGACCAATTTGGGACAGTCAGAAAGGAGTCTTCATCTGTGTTACTCTCAGGAGGGAACAGTGGTGGGGAGGGGGGAGTGACTGACCCCTCGAGTCTCAGGGTGGCACGTAAGTCAAGATCAGTGATACACTTGCCGTCATCTTGGGCACAGGCCTTGATGAAGTCGAGCTAGATATGGGGCAAAAAAAGACAAAGTAAGAAAAAAGCCGAGATAGTTCTCTATCCTTGCAGTTTGAACATTAGCATGTGTGAGAAAAGTAACAAGTATTCATGAGGTTCAGGCATGCGACTGGCAAATCCTTTTGTGAAACGCCAGCCAAACAAGATTTTTGCTTCTCCATGGAATGTCTATGTAAGGCTGTTGTCAACTCTTCCATCACTTAATAAAGGCAAAACCGACAGGGTTTTTGAGAAACTTGGAATGTCGGGCAGGGCAAAAAAATTCCAAAATTAATTAACATCTCCCCGGTGCAAATCCATCCTTGGAAATAGTTGTCAGCCAGCCGACACTGGCACCAGCTCGGTGGTTGAGTAGTTAAGATGTCTGCACTAGTAACCAGGAGGTCGTGGGTTCGAATCCCACCCGAGTTCATTTGTGGTTTTTCACAAGCCTTCATGGGCAAACACTGAGTACACAGTGTTTTTAATGCATGTTGGGCAGGGCAAAAAAAATCCACAATTAATTAAACTTGGAATGTGCTTAATATTTTGAGGCCAATGGTAAATGAAACAGGCTGTAGTGATGCTAGTGCAGGGTAAATATCAGTTAAGATATAAGATTAATATCAGTCAGATCAATATCAGTTAATAGTTACTGTAACTGTTAGTTATTACTAGTGCACATGGGAGATGGATAATGGAATAAGTACATGTAATGTGCTTAGCCAGTCTTACACTTTGATGTTGACAATGGAGTTCATCTTTGCCTTAGGTCATTATCATCTGGCCAAGCACATCTCATTCATGAAAACCTTTAGAGTCACAAACTCAGTGTTACAAAGGATAAACTTCTGACGACTTTGTTCAACAAGTTTATTTTGTTTTCCCTTTCAAACATCCCCCTGGCTATGTTATGGTATGTGCCTCTCGCAAGGCAAGGAGGTAGTTTGGTACATGTATTTGGATACAGCATGCTCGAGATGGAGGGCGTCCGAGGTCATTTGGACCCACCTGTGATGTCTGCACAATCAGAGCAGCCCCTGCTGAACTGGGCTGCCAGCTCTTTCCCAGGATACTTTTCTTGAAATACCGAACTGGCTCATTGGCTTTTATGTGTGCACGTGGCACCTACTATGCATGTGCCAGTGGCATGGGACATTATCGGCGTCCATTCTCTTGAGCTGTTCTTAAACAGGCATTTAAGGCCTGCCAAGCACATACTTTTTCCAATTCATGAAAAACTTCCCAGTCAGAAAGGGACAAGTGAAAAACGCAAATATTTCCAATGGTTTTGTTCAACAATTTCACTCGACTGTAACAGTAGTTATTACCCTTTACACCCCTCTAAGCCATGTTGTCTACGCTTCCCGTGAGCTGTTGCTTTATCAACCATTTAAGACAGGCCAAGTGACAGACTCTAAACCAACAGGAATGGCTAAACCGTCTTGGGTATTTATTTACAGAACAGCCCACTGTAAGTCCTAACAAGTCCATCGCAACTCAGGATAGGTCAAGAGCGACCAAAACTGCGATGAAAACATTCCTATGTCATTGATTACTCCCTCCCCTCGTCACTTGTGACACAAAATGTGAAAGGAGTAGTGATTGACTTCTGATGGACTCAACGCCAACACTGTATACTAGCAATGGAATTAGATTTCAGCAATCAGCGCAGAGCAAGAATGGTCATATTTATTGAGGGCAAAAAAAGGGAGTCATGCAATCAACAAGCAACCATTTCTCCGAACAGGCCCTAACCTCACTCTCAGTGACAGTAAACAAATCAGGTAACCTCCCCACATGTCAATGTCTTGGCTGAAGGAGTGCTAGCCCTGCGTGACTTGTTGGATGATTTGAATTATTAAATGGCAGTGAGGATCAAACCCTCTGTGTAACTGGATACAAACCGAGTCGATCAACACCCATGCAATTTTGGGGTAAATCTGAAATCTACCTCCCCTGGAACTGTGAGAATGCACAAAAGTACCCAGCTCTTTTCGGGTTAGGAGTTTAGTCTACCAACCAGTGAACAAGTCCCAATATATCTGGGTAAATATCAATGGTGTCCAAATTACTTGGCTACAGCTGGATATAACACACAAGACTGTAAAAGCCACTAGCTTGTGGCTCTGTGCATTTCCCATAGACGCCTGTGTTATTTCAAGCCATAGGGTTATAATTTGTGCGCGGCTTTTATAACATGACAGAGTTCCCATGATCATGGAAAATACTGAACAATCCTGGGAAAAAAGTTTCCCTGAAAAGTTACGGAAAATTGGCCAAAAAAAAAAAGGTATCCTGAAATTGTGCCACGTATGGGAGGGAAAGGGGTCATGGGAAAGTAATGGAATTTGGTGATTACATTTTTGTGGGAACCCTGCATTATCACATCATGGGCTGCGTTCGCGTCTGTCACTCTCGATACTTGGGAAGGGGGACAGAAATGGCCTGTTTGTTTCAGGCTGATCTGGATCTCGATCAGCGATCCTAACGCTGGTTCGCACCAGCCACTTTGCGGGTTTTGGTGTCTAAACCAACAACGGATCACTGATCATGATCCAGATCCATGTAAAAACAAACACGGCCAAAGTATTGTGTGTGCATTACTCTCAGATCCCATCATGAGCATGGAAATTGTTAACTTTTCTGCCATCTCAAGATAACCATGCATACTTGAGTATTACCCTGGCCTGCCCGTGAGTATGCTCTCGCTCACTTGCGAGGCACACTCCTGCCTTTTGAGCATTCAGGAGTACATTTTTGTTAACATGAGTGACACACGTGAACGCAGCCGAGGATGGCATTAATCAGCATTTGTGATGGAAGCCTTGTGCAGTCACCTGGAATATTCGGCTTGAAGATCTTGACTTCTTGGACAGGGCAAAAAAAAGCACAGTGCAGCAAATTGTTAGCACTGTGACACAATGCTCAAAACATTAAAAAGAAAAATTAGACCAACTACAACAGAAGAGAAAAGAAAGCAGAAAACCCATCCTGAAGCAAAAAAAAAAGAAAAAGAAAAAAGCAACGATAAAACTTGTACAACTCAAAGCTCAATCGCAACAAATACTCCACCAAAATGGTGCTGTTAATCCAAACAAAATGTGAAGCAAAACAAAGCGGCCATGCTGACGTAACAACTGAGATTCTGCCTACTGATTGGCTGAGAGTGGGTCACATGGTATCACCTATTTGTTACTGTTTCACTGTGCACTCCATATTGTGACAGCATCATGCTGAAGAACGCAGCGTAAGCAAAGCAGCCAACGTGCCGTGCCATTAAAGCAAACCAGAGTTCTGCAGTTATGGGCGCGAGTTGGCCAGAAACATCTTCATCTTGTCTGGGAGTCTGGGCAATGTACTTGTGACTCTTCATTAAACAGAGGCATTTTTCAGGCATCTTTCCGATTTGAAAAGTAAGACGCCTCGGAAACCAAGACAAATCTGTGAATGAGGTATACAGAACTAACACTTCTGGCTCTCACTCAAGGCATATGCCTGCAGTACAACATGCCTTCCGCTGCGGTCTGCTGTGAGCTATGTGAGCAGCATGTCACTCCAAGTAGTGAACATTTGCACAAAAGCACACGCACCTGCTGTACTTCAGTCCTAAAAGCCACATAGTAATAAAATTAAGTTCCAAGAGATGCAGAGGGAATCAAACACGAAAAAAGAAGGTTGCATAGTAAAAACTGGAGAGCATTTTGTAACAATATTTCTTTTCTGTCAACAATGGAAGTTGACTCTGGAAAAGAACTGACAAGATTCAAAACCCAGAAGTAGCACAACCGAAGTCCAAACGGGTGGCTGGGTGGGGGGATGGGGGGGGTTGAGAAGAAGGGGAAAGGCAGGGTGGGGAATCCTCTAATGGATTCTGTCAAATCTGCAGCACTGTGACAAAGCGTTGCACGTGAAGCGGGGCTCAGATCTGCTTTATAATTCAAAGCCAATTTGGACCGTTAATGTTCGCATGTGTCGGCTTGCTGAATGTCTTTTTGTTCTGGACATTACCTGCGCTACGTACGACGGGTCGTAGAGGCTATTCAGGATGGGCAGCTCATTGATGTCTGGAAGGGGCTCCCCTGGCAAGGGGGGGTCGACGTTGACCTCCCTCAGCCAGTAGGTCAGCTTGAACGGTATCTTCCGGAAGATGTCCTTGAATCCCGGCTACAGGAATAAAAACAGCAGGTGACTTTTGGGTAAACAATGGGTAAATAATTCATTTACAGACGCAGGATGGATAACTGCCACACCATGAAACACCGTTGTTTGTGTAGAAAGTCTATGAATTGTACACGTTGCTTAGCGTTGCACCAGAAATACATTGCTTTGTGGTCCAACCGAAGAATGGTGACAAACATCTCAAGAGAGCTTTTGCAGCACTGTGAAGGGGCCACCCAGTCACCTGTTGAAGCTGGACCTCTTTAAAGAGGGCAAAGAAAGGTGGATAAACAACTCACTCAAGTACACCTGACAGAAATTCATTTGTTTGCCATTTTGCACTCCAACGTACATGTACTCAGGATGACTTTTTTCTGGAAGTCTAATCATTTAATAGGCAATGGTCGGGCATTTTCTGTTGTTATAAAACGTGTGTTGCAAAATTGTGTCAGAAGGCTCAGGACGACTCATCTTCCTGATGGCTGTGCTTCTGGAAAAACACACGCAAGCAAAAAATTGGAACAAAATTTATATAACAGTGCAGGTAACTATGGCAAAGGATATTTAAATGAACTTTACTTCCATGTTGGGCAAACTGCGTAAAAGCGTTGAGGAAATTGCAACAAGCTACAGAAATTTGTTTACAATTACTTATTTCATAATTAATTACATTAGACAAAAAAATCAGGGTCGTATACCATTAAATATAACATGTCCGAAATAAGATTTGATCAAAGACTGTGCATAAAATGCCACCCGGAAAACTGCAAATCCTTCCTTGAATCCTTGACAGCTCAAACTCACCCTGAGATAGGCAATGTATTCGGTTGAGCGCTTGGGTATCTCTTCGCTCTGTGGCCGGAGATCTAAGGACAGGTCCCGAATGGCGTAGGAGTCAGTGGCCTCAAAGATGATTCGGGACGTCAGACCTAATGCGCGACGCTCTTCCTCGGCCTCAATGGAATACATGACCTCTGTGGGAAAACGGAAACGAACAAAGAAACCCAAATGTGGTAAGTAGGGAAAACATTTGACAAAGCGAATGCAGCTTACCGGCTAACAAGTCATGCATTTAATGCTTTCTGTGACTGTTCTCTGTATATTTTTGCTCAGCACACAAATTTTCCAAGCAGTATTTTCCGCTCGGCCACTGTGCAAAACTAGGCCCAGAACAGTTAAGGGAACAAATACGCTTAGCAAAGATGGGTTACCGACCAAGGCACCGAGCAAAGTATACAACTGCAGACCAGTCCGCTGCTCAGTTTTAGCTCCGCGTGAAAATTCACCCAGCAAGATTCTTTGCTTAGGCGCCTCATGAAACTGGACACAGTTGTGAATGCCGACAGCTGGAACCAGATGGGAAAAAATTCTCCAGACCTTGGTATCCAGTTTAAGAAATCCAGATGACCTCTTTGAAAGGACAAGGAGCCGAGTTGAGCTAGAGGACCCTGTCTTGGGGGGAATGGAATTCCTTAAATTGAAGCAGGAATATGACAATAAAATAACAGCTGCGCCCCCGAGCTGCTGAGCGCAAAATTAGAAAAGGTCAGCCAACTGAAGGGCACCAGCCAACTTTCCATTCGGTGTATACTGCTCTCCGACTTATTCCCAGCTGTGTTTTTTTTTGGTACTTTTTTTTAGAACAAGCTTCCTATTGAGCTGCTTACAAAAGCTGCACCCAGGGATAGATGAGCACTTACCAATTGGGGCATCAAAGTTATCTGCGTTGCATATGTACTTCATGCGAACTTGCACATAGAAGCTGAAATTTGATGAGAAAAATTAGACTTACGTGAGATTTATGACACAATTTTGGCACGCCGATTGGAGCACTGTAGATGTTACATCTTCAAAAACATGTGAGCCAGACCAAGACCAGAAAGAATCTTGCACAATGGAGGTCAATGGGTACCTTCCACCTTTTTTACCAACTTAATGCCAGTTTCATCTGGACACAGAACCGATCAATTTATCAAGACGCTCTGGTGGGACATAGAAAACACATGTAGGATTGATATTCAGATCACCCTCGTTTTATACATACAATCTGTTACATCAACAAAACACCTGTTTTCACTGGACGTGAAACGAAGGTGGAAATTTTTCTGTTCTTGGAAGATATTTTCATCAACATGTGTTTATTTTGCTGTCAGATGAGGTACGCCTTGTCAAAAGAGCATACAGCCATCAAAATGAATCCTTCAAAATCATTCACAAACAATGTTCCTAAGAAATGTTGGCCACTATTATTGTCCAAACAAGATGTTCAAGATGAAAACCAAGAATAAAGGAGAGCCTACATGTACTCTGACAAAATGAAGAAAAGTGTGATGTTGTACACAAAGCTACGGAGACACTCCCGGTCTGCCTTGATCAGCGCATGAATATGCAAACTGTCATTTGCATAAATTCCAAAATGCTACAAGTTCTCTCTTGCACTATTATAAGGGAGGCAGAAAGCCACTCTAACAGGTGCATGGAAATAAAGCTGAGCTTCATGTATTCAAGTCTTACAAATCCTCCGGTATGGTTCTCGAAAGTCTAATGAATTCCTCACCGATACGTGGGCTTGCCCTTGTACTCGGCATTTGTTGCGTTAGCATCTATCTCCGACGTCTGCAGGAGAAGTTCTGCTGTGACATTGATGATGGGCCTGGCCCTACAAAAAACACATGCACACAAACCAACAAGCTCAATGTCTGAGGGGAAGAGCCTGGGTCGTTAGTGCACAGATTCCTGCAAGTTAATTCGGTGAACTTTGTCTGTCTGTGCGTGTATTTTCTATGGTCACAAGTTTAATTTGAGGTTGTTTAGCTTGTACTTGAGCGAGCTTGTTGCCACAAAGTTTCCTGCCACGGCACGAGGTTTATTGCCCGCCCATCTGGATGTATCATGGATGCTTACAATGCAATACACACACATTCATGGCTAGTTTGCCGACGTGATTAACTGACTAGCGTTGTGCAAAGTGGTGTAAATTGTCCATGATTCTTAAGAATTGTTGCCTGTAGAAATTTTTACAAAGATGAAGGCAAGTTTTTATCACTTTTTGTGGCAATTTTGGGTAGCTTTCGTCCCCATTCATGCCATCCAATCAGCATAAAAACATTGACCCAGAACTTTTTTTTTTTGCCTAAGTGTGATTGCTATGTTTTCCCACCTAAGGGACATCAGGGTTCCAACAGACATCTGAAAACCAAAGTCCAACACTTCTTCATGACTAAAATGTGGCATTTTCAATGACACCTACAGCCATTTGGCAGTGAAGAGTTGTATGGCGATAAAACTGAAAACTTCCACAGCAACTACATGAACTACAGACTGACAAGGATATTCATGTATATGCAGCCTGTAAATCTTTCATTATCGTGTTATCACGTCAAAAGCAGTTTAGCAAAACTTCCTCAGGCATAATCTTGATTTCCATGACTTTTCCATGACTTTTGTCTCTCTAGCAGGCTTCAAGGACATCAAATTTCTCCCACTTTTCCTTGAATTTTCCATGACTTTCTAGGACAAGATTTTCCCCCCAGGATTTTCCATGACGGTGGAAATCCTGGATGCTATGTGTTTTGTAAAGCATGGTTTGCCCTGCACAAGCTAAAAATTGTTCTTCAGGCTCAGCCATCTCTTCTTGACTTGATTTGCTAATTTGCCGTATAATATACAGATATTGACTGCTTTGAGTAGCACAGTTAAACTAGCCTCCTGAAGTGATCCATGGAAACATCTATTTACCCGAGGCCATCTCTTCTTGACTTGATTTGCTAATTTGCCAAATAACATACAAATATTGACTGCTTTGAGTAACACAGTAAAACTACCCTCCCGAAGTGATCCATGGAAACATCTGTTTACCCGAGGCCATCTCTTCTTGACTTGATTGGGAAATAAATACTACTTATGACTACTTCTTACTTCCACTTTTGGCTGCCAGATTTGTCTTTCTGGGCTGCATGCCAAAACAAGGCTTCGCCAAATGCCACATCAGGACCTACCTGAGAGTGACGATAGTATTAGCTTCAAAGGCCCCGATGCTCAGCTCTGGATACTGGTTCCCGTCCAAGTCTATACCCCCCGACACCGAGTAACCAAACGCACTGCGATTTTCCCTGGAGGTCTGCAGGTCATAAGGCAGGTCAGAGGGCATGATCTTCTGGGACGCGGGCTGCATTACACCGTCGGGGCCACCCAGGTAGATGTAGACAGCGCCCTCGCCGTTGTTCTCGTAGGGAGCACCAATGGCGATATCTGCAGTGGAGGAAGGCAAATTTTGCATTGGCCTCAGTCGGGTTACAACCCACTCGATGCTACCAAGCGGGGCTGAAATAGAGTCCCTTATAAATCAATAGCAAGTCAATAACAGGTCAATAGCAAGTCAATAGCAAGTCAACAGCCAGCCAACAGGAGTTCAATAGTAAGTCAATAGCAAGTCAATAGCAAGTCAACAGCAAGTCAACAGCAGATCAATAGTAAGTCAATAGTAAGTCAATAGTAAGTCAATAGTAAGTCAATAGTAAGTCAATAGTAAGTCAACAGCAAGTCAACAGCAGGTCAATAGCAAGTCAACAGCAAGTCAACAGCAGGTCAATAGTAAGTCAATAGTAAGTCAATAGTAAGTCAATAGTAAGTCAATAGTAAGTCAATAGTAAGTCAATAGCAAGTCAATAGCTCACTGCCAAGTTGGCTCACTGTCAAATCCCATGTCTGGTTTCAAGTAACAAGGGGATGGACAGTGACAAAGGAATACATCTGCTAAACTTCATTTGAATAGCTTAAAAGTTTGGATGACTTGTGGTGGGCGAGTGTTACAACTGTGAGGAAAAGGCTAAAGCAATACCGTCAAGCATTACTTTCTTGCCGAACAAGAAACTTGAATCCATCATTTGAAGTGAGAATTTCAAGAGTCTGAGAATGTAAGCCCACCGACACAAGTGACTTATTAAGTTACCACTCAAGTGAGCAGGACTCCAGTCCAATATTTCCAAGACTATCACGTTCTAAAAGCAGTCTGAAATCCATACTTAAATATCTACAGCACCCCGAGTTCAAGTTACCTCCAGATTGGAACTGTTCTTGTCTTGAAATATACTTTCAAAATATCGTCAAGTATTTGATCCATTTAATCTTGTCTCCTGTTAAGGCAAAGTACGAATTTACCCTGAAATGCCAAAATGTCTGGGACTGTTCAGATGTGGTCCTAAAGGGTCTTCCACGGTTTCAATTATGTCTTCCCTTGTCAACATGTAACCATGCATCGACAACCAGCAAAGATTCAGACCTAGATCTCAACACAAGATTCTACTGCTGCCTTACCCTCAAAGCCGTCGAGATTGAGGTCTCCCAGATTTGTGATGGCGATACCAAACATGGAATCCTTTGGCCCCGTCAGACGAATGGGCTCGACATCTCCAAAAGAACCCTGCAAGAAGACAGACGGATAGACATCAAGCTATGAAAAGCATACAGAGTCTACGCTTGGATTTGATGGGAAGAGCTCCATATACGGACGCCAGTAATTATTCCTTACAGTGACCTACAAGCCATTGAAAAGCAAAAACATGTCCAGAAAAGTTCAATTTAGGAGGAAAATACCAAGTCGTTGACGTAGAAAACACTTCAAATTTTTTCAGACCAGTCTCATAGGGTTTGTGCACAGGGTGTCAAGTGGCATCCCTACATGGAACTCTTACCGATTTGTTAAATACAGCACTACATCTAGCTACTTGTGGCACCTAAATGTCCTGCAATGAGGCACTTCAATTGGAGGCGTAGCACACAATCTTTACAGTCTTTGGCTGTGACAGCAACTCAGGGTTGGAATCCAGTTGATCACAGGTCAGTAGTTTTACAGGGTGCTTATAAATAGTCAATTTGTTTCCAGATAACTCACGAGGCTCAAGTGTGAGGTCATTACGTGCAATCCCATGGGTAAAAGACAGCTCCCGACACAGTGTACGCAATAAATGTGTTACGTTGCTCGTGAGCATCACAGCTCAACAGGTTAACTTCATGTTGGTAGTAATACAAGTCTTTGATAATTTACCCTAACAAATGAATACGTCCAAATCTTGCTTCCTACATGTTCATCAATGATTCAGAACCCACAATCACATTTTTCCTATTACAAAGTCTATAAACCTTTGACTCAGTCATCTATGAAATGACGTGAGTTACAACCAACAGATGCATCAGTACTCACGTTGTGATGTTTGTTAAGGTATATATACACGCGGCCCCCAGCCTCCGTAGTTCTGTCATAGTAGATGGGCGCACCAACAAGCAGATCATCAAAGCTAAATCAAAGATGATACCAACAAGGTCAGCGACAAGGATTACGAAAAAAATCAAAGCTGGCCTGAGCCACTGTGGCCCACAAGACTGGTGTTTATCTGTGGCATCAAATGACCGATCACCATCATTATTATTATGAATCATTTATGGTAATTAAATCAAGGATTTCTCAAAAGTGCCCTGGGCACTGTAGATTGCTAGCCTGAAGAAACCTGTAGAGAGGAGACAATGAGAAGCCGTAAAAGTTCAGAGGTGGGAGGATACCCAAGAGGAACGTTCTGGGTAAAACCCTCGGAATCAGGTTGGGACTGAAAACCCAATTCACATGTGGACCAAGCCGGGATTTGAACCCAGACCGTAGAGGTGGAAGGCGAGGGAAGAACCACTACGCCAACCTGACTGCCAAAGATTAAACCCAAGCTAACGCCGTGGCATTTTGCTCAACCTTGCCTTTGCCTTGTCTCCAACTCCAGGCTTCTGGTTTCAGGAAAGTATGAAACGGGCATGCAACTTGGACTTTGACAAACAACGAGGAAATCCAATCTTTACAAGACTTTGTGCAGTGTTTTTCAATTTTCAATGGCATGAGTGTGACATGGAAAATGAGGAAATCAGCTGACCTGAGGGAAAAGTTGCATGCCTGATTAAACCATATTCCAATGATGTCAAGCAAATCACCCCCAATAAAAACTTCCTCCCACCCTGGTCCCAAAATTTAACGCATGCATGTTAATTAGGGGTCGTTCGGTGCAATGCAGGCTGTGAAAATTTACGTTTAGCTTTTGTACAGTGTCTGACTACTAATTATGCACTTCTCACATAAATCTTGATAATGAAGGGTAACTTGAGTAATGAGGGGTAAAATCTTCTTTGTCTGATTGGCTCCTAAAATGACAGCATTACGTTACGCCACAATTTATTGTGCATGTCACCAACTGAGGGCAGCATGTGTCATAGTTTGTTGAGTAACTTATGCAATCACATGTAGCACAAGTAAAATTACCCCAATGCGTTAAGTTTCAAGAAATGTGCAGTTTTTAGCAGGCCAGCGAGTGACCTACCCGTCTCCGTCCAGGTCAGCTGAACAGACTTCGTAGCCGAAGGACTCGGTCTGCTGCTCTCCCTCAATGATGGACTGCATCATTAGGTCGGTGCCGGCCTTGGCTAGCATGACCACGGCGCCGATGGCCCTGTACCGTGGGGCGCCGGACGCCACCAGGAAGTGGGGGCCAAACTTGCCCGAAGTCACTGAGAAACCTGTGTGAAGACACACGAAAGAACATAAGAGTACTGGTACCCTAGATGAATAAAACCGCGATAAAACGAGAGGTTGACTGGCACCAAAGGAAACTCAAATCAAGAGATCAGGAAATGAAGCTTTTTACGAGAAAGGAAAACTGTGTTCAATAAATGTACTTCTAGAAAACATCCACGGCTGACTTTTTTTAACCAGTTCCTTTGTATCTGTCATTACAGAGCTATGTTTCAACATTATACAGTAAACAGTAGCACGAGTTCAGCAGACCTACAGGTGTCCTTGAGTGGTCAACTGGGCACAAACAACAAACCCACAGCCAGAGGCACCAGGGCAAACAAACTGATTGCTGGGCCATCCTGTGTCAAATTAAACACTTTTGGGAGTTAATCTCACAGACTGTCTTGAAATGTGGTGAAACTTTTGTGTCATTTAAGAAAACTAGAACGGCAAAGCTGCCATGGCTCACTGCTTGTTATGAATTTGAGATGGATAGGATGGATATCCACTAAGAGACATCCAAGTTACACAAATATGGTTACTAAATTAAACAAGAAAATACTAACCAATCTTCATCCAAATTTTTTACAAGATTGTCGACCTACGATTACAATACAGATGTACAAAATATTTCATCCACCTTAGCAATAAAATTCACTGTACTCTAGTAGAAAAATCCTAGTTAGTGCTGTGTGCAGACTGTGTGTTGAAAGGCACCTGTCCTTTAAAAGTAAATCAACAAAGACCACCAAAAATTGAGATACATCAACAAAGGCTTCACAGTTCTTTACAGGAGAGAGGAATGCCTAAAGAATGTGGGTCCAGTACAGTCAGACCAGACCAGACCTCGATGATTATATAAGCAGTGCATTTGTGAGTTTGATAGATGGTGCATAATTAAAATAAAGTACAGTTCTGCACTTTGTATCCAACCCCATCATCCCATCTCTACAAATCTACCA